AAGCAGCATACAAGTCAACTGGAAGCTTCAGAACAACAATATAAGCAGGTTTTGCTACAAAAATTTAGGGGAGTTAAAGACCAGCATTACAAATATTTTATCACTCATTTCAAATTCAAAATAAAATCCAATAGTACTGTGAAGACAAGAGAAACTTACCAATTTTTGTACGTAGGTACATGAGACAGTCAATAGAGAAACAGTTAATTTACAATTACAGCTCTGTGTATTAAAGGCAAATTTGCGAAAGCTATATTTTATTGATTTCTTTAAGCTGCATCAAATGCTGTCACACTAATCATAATTTTCTGCTTCTTATAGGCATTTTGAGTAATTCCCCTACTGTGAAAGGTTTTTCAGATCATCACACACCAAACTGGATGCAGCAAACCAAAAAACAATCTAAACTGAAAGACGAAAAGTATTAGTCAACATGTTGGTTTTTTAATGCTGCACCGTTTCAAACAAAACATCAAATACTTCATGTAGTAGAACTGAAACTCACTTGCCTTAATGCCTCAACACTTCTGAAAGCAAAAATCACACTGAGAAAAGTAGTAGTATAAACCAAATGAATAATATAAAATGTTCCTACTGACCCAAGTTGGCTACCCACAAAATGATTATATTTTCTACATTCTTTTAGCATAAACGTGTATCAACATGAAATTGTCAGATTCATTTTTGAGAAACCATATTTCAATCCCAATTCTGTAAGTGCATAAAGTGTCAGTCTATTTAAATCACCAAGCTCCAATTAACAGAAGGCTGTATTTTGGAATGCCTAATGTTCTAACTAATTAAGTCCTATGTAGAATCATATTTTTTCCCTGGCAGTAAAGTCTAATGGGAATCTTTAGAATGAGCTGTTTTTCAAACATACGGTTATACATTACAATCAGTGAATTTCCAAAATGAAACACATGTTAAAAAGAAATGCTGAAATAATTCTCATCATCATTTTCTCAAGCAATGTTTTTTCCTTTTTCTCCAAAGATCAATTCTTTGATTTCTGGAAACTCAATATTAAATGGGTTAAATGTGGCCAGAAACAATTTGGGGCAATAAGTGTGGCAATAATTGGTTCTGAAGCTCACCTGTTAGGTCTTGTGGCTGTGAGGTTTACCTGTGAGAAGGCTCTGACACCAAATGGCACTTCAACATTGCAGCCTGTATATACCATCTGCCCAAATCACGTCGTTCATGGATGGGCTTTTAAAAACCACTTTCACCAACTTCAAAGACGCAATCCAAATGACAGAGTTTTGTCCCTGTTTGCCAGTGTGCATCATTTCCAAATACATTTGATATATTCTGTCATAGTCCACCTTACATCAAAGTAGCTGCAATACCAATAGCTTTCATATATCTTACCGTTTGGTTATTATTTCCATGATGGAAATTTGAATGTTAAAATGACAATAGTGACAGGAGCAGCACTCATGTCCACTTTCACATCACCTGCCAGCGTGAGTCGGCTGTGTGGTGCAGGACTCTGAGCCGGACAGACTAACAAGAGATCAGCTCTCCAGGCACAGGCTTACATTCGCCTGTCATGGACTCTTCCCAAGGCCCAGGGAAGGTCTACAAGTGGGTCTTCAGAATGTTAACATTTTAAAAGTTTCTGCCCAACTCTATCATGCTCTTAGTTTACAACCATGTAATCCATTTCCTAAATTAGCCCTATCCTCCCTTAAAGCTGCATCAGGGACTTGGTGAGACTGAACCCCCTACCCAAACTCACAGGATCACCCACTTAGGCTCTGGGAATGACCACGGACTAACGCTTGGAAATCAGGACAGGGCAAGGGGCAGCCCCCATTTGAGTGGCACACATACACAAAGTAACTCTTCTTTAAATTAGAAAAGAAATTAATGTCACAGAATGTTTCCCTATAAAAGATATGTAATAAAGTAATAATATCAATAAAATAGCTATTACTAAAGCAAAGCTTTCATCAATAAGCTTCAAGAACTTTGAAGGAGGAAAATGGCTTCACGAAATGGTAGTCCAGGTTCCCGCAGTGCGGACACTGCTGGACGTTGCTATACTCAGAGAAGTACTGCATCCCGATGCGCACATCGATCACCGGCTTCCCGCAGTGCTTGCAGTTCAGGCGGGCCTGGGGGAACACGGACACCATGAGTCATGAGAGCCCTCGGCTCTGCACCGCTTGTCAAAGTCATCCAAACCAAAATTCTTGCTGGAAAACTGAGCAAGGGTTTAGTAAAACATCCCTTCATAACCAAAAACAGGATCCAGAAATTATAACATATATTAACACATATCATTCTAACACTCATCACCAGTCTGAGAGGCTCCCAAGTTCTCTCCTGATAGGCGGCACTGCTAGTCATTTCACCTCCTATTGAGAAGATGATTCGAAACTAGTACTGCCTAGTAAACTTATCGAACAGAGTTCTCCTAACAGTAAGAAACACTTGGCCCTGAATTTTAAGACAGTGGCTGAAGCTAACTTCTTTCAGCCAAACCTGCATGAAACTTCTTTGATGATCCTGGGTTTAGCTTTACAAATTCATATATACTTTTCATTCTATTCTATTTGACATTTGTGTTTTCTTCAACATAAAAATAAAATTTCCCAAAATACTCAAGTAAAATTAGCAATCCAGGAAGAAGTACTGGGTTTATCCTCAGGCTTACAGAACCTACTGGCATAGCCACATTCATGCCCAGGCCTCGCTTTCAAGTACAAGCCTAAAACCTTTTGGCAATAGGTCCAGGACTTGGGTGAAAAACCAGAAATTATAAACAAAACAGACTCTCAATTTAGGTGCTTCCAAAAAACGCAATAAAAAGGAATAATATCGATTAGTCCACAAAACATTCCTGTGAGGTGGTAGTGTGTGAATTTCAGATGATGAAACTGAGGCATGCAGTGATAAGGTACTATGCCTAGGATCACACGGAAAGCCGAAATGGGACTGCGAATCACAGAAGCCTGCTCCAGAGCCCACACACTCATGGACCATCTTTCTGAAACCTCAGAGAAGCTCCTTTTCACTACTTAATCTCGCTGAACAGCACTGAAAGTGAAATTTGAGCAAACCCCTCTCTTTAACCTCTTATTCCTTTCTAATAACCAGTATTGCTAAGTTGTGGCTTGGTCTTACTGGAAGATTTCCCTTGACTCCTTAACAGTCTATAATACTTACATACTCACAGTAGATATGTCAATAATTTTTAAAAAATAAACAAGTGGGGCCAGCAGGTGAGGTGGTGGTTAAGGTGCTGGACTCCCGCATGGCCAACCATGGTTCAAGACCTGGACCTGGTGGCTTGCTTTCTCACTTTCTATCTGTGTCTCTCTCTGGTGAGTGTGCATGCCCTATACCAAAATAAATGAATAAAATTAATAGTAATAATTTTTAAAAATGTTTTCCATTTCAGTAGGAAAGCAGAAAATAAAGGGCTGGGCTTAAATTGCTTTAAGGAGGAAATACATACTGAGTACCAATAGGCTGTGTGTGGTAGGAAGCCATTCTGGTTTTCTCTCTGGAGATAATGGACATAATCCCACTACCTTTCTGCGCAGTCTTGCCGCATTGGGATCCTGAGTAGCCAGGACCACAGGCATGTGTCACTATGCCTGGCTTTTTGGGTGGGCTGAGAATTGAACCTGCCTCCTGTGGCCTCAGCCTGCCAAGCAGTTACCCAGAGTACACTACAATATCCGCACCACCCCCCGCCCCCGCCTTTCAATGGTATGTATAGCAGAAAGAACACCGAGTGGGAATTACCCATTTGTTTAGTGATGGCTGTATCACCCTTTTGTGTAGACGTGGGTAGAACATTCAAAGATTTTAGGTCTTCACTGAATGTGGAAAATAAGGAAGCTAAACTAGAGTTCCCAGGTCCTTTCCAGTGTGAACATTCTATGAGTTACAGACCCAAACATTATTATTTCACTTCCTATTTCTTTAACTTACAAGATAACTCCTGTGTGTGTGCAGAGAGGGGACCAGTTCCTTTGGTTTCACTCATATTAGGAGCTGGCATTAGTCACATAACCATCATAAAATGCTGCTAAAAGTAACTAAAAGACTGTGATAACTCATTTTCAAGTCTAAATATAAAAATGAAAACGTGGTCAATGCATCAGAACAGTATGAAATTAGTCAGACCCATCTAGAATTGGAAGATGCGCTATGGCTGACCATTCGATCTCTCACAACCATGTTTCTCTTCTAAGAAACACCAGTATAGACAAACTATAGCTGAAATACTAATTCAGCCAACCGTCCAATTCCACAGACACGGGTCATGTTCTGAATAAATTGATAATACTGAGGATATTTTCTTTACAAACATAAGTCCTCAGGCTAACGATATAAAACTGTGTACTAATGAAGTGTCTATCAGTTATTTATATTAAAAACCAGGGACCAGCAGTTGGTGTAAATGCTATGCTGCTGGAATCCCATGTAGTCGACCGCAGTTCAAGTCCCGGACCCAGTGGCTTAAACTTACACCAGGCGCGAGTGTGTGCATGCCCAAGATCCTGAGATGAGAATGGAGGAGAAGGGATTGTGGTGTGGTCATCCCCTGGGGGATCTCGCTTCCTGTCTCTCTCTGTCTTTCTGGTGAGTGCATATGCCCTCTCGCAAAAACCTCTCCAAAAAAAATAAATAAATAAAAAGTAAAAAGCTACATTTGAGAACCAGAGCAAAGGAAAATTTCTTTCCTCCCCATGAATATCAAGAGATTACAAAACAATTTGTTTTTCCCCCAAGCACTTGGAAATAAACCAAGATATTGCCAAGGATTTTACCTCTTTTGTTTCTATGGATTTATTTAATGTGGTTTTTCATATGTTGATACTTTCCTCTTTTCTGGATGATAGCTAAATTTCAAATGCTCTCTTAGCATCACAAAAATGCCTCCTCTTAGCACTGCTTTAATCTTTTATGCCAACCTGAAACACCTTACAAGTAGGCAATTGCTGGGTAACTGCACTCTCTTATAGAAAGAACAACAACAAAAAAACACATCTACTAAAGAAAGTGAACTGTTTCTCTCCCTTTAAATAACTTTTAAAATTTGAAATGTATTATTAACTAATTATATAAAATACTAGAAAATATAAACAAGCAAAGAGAAAACTGAAGGAAGTGCACAGTATCCTACCACAAAGACCATATGTAATTACCTGGTAACAGGTAAGGTTATTCCTTTTCATGCTTAGTTATAAGTGGAAGCATACTGGGATGCAATTTCATATCTGGATTTTTAAAAATTAATATATTGGAAATACTTCCCACATAATGACATACCATTCTGCAACATTCTTTTTAATGACTGTATAGTATTCCACTAATTTACAATGTATTGCTAATAATCAGTCATTCTTGAACTTTGGAGTTTTCTAACTGAATTTCTTCTTTACTGTCAGAAGTACCTTCTCTATAATCACTTGGGGACAGAAGCCTCGTATCACCCACTGTTCCCTCAGGGAGGTGGATACCAACCTGACAACATGGAGAGGCGGCCAAGATGTCGTAGGTGTACATTGTGCCCAGTTGGTGCCAGCTGCCATCCCACCGTGACTTGCACTTGATGCAGATGATCTTGTGAACCCCTTCCAGGCAGTCCACGCACACCGCGTACAGGTGCATGAGTCTCCCTGTGCACAGAAGACACAAGGCTGAGCATAGCCATCATGAGAATCACAGCTTACCTCATAAGGAGATAAAACATGCCGCATGGGGAACCAGCAATTAGTGTAATGGCTATGTCACTGGACTCCCATGTAGTCGACCACGGTTTGTGTCCCGGACCCGGTAGCTTAAAACTCACGCAGGGCGCATGTGTGTGCGTGCCCAAGATCCCGAGAGGAGAATGGAGGAGAAGGTATTGCGGCGTGACCATCCCCCCTGGGAGGTGATTTCTCGCTTTCTGTCTCTATGTCTCTCTCTGTCTGTCTGGTGAGCGCACGCGCCCTATAGCAAAAAACCTCTCAAAAAAAAAAAAAATGCCGTATGTACCTGTAAGCAAACATTTGTCAACTGGATAAGTATAAAAAGCAAAATAGGTAATGTTTATCACACATCCAAGCTGTCCTTTTAGAATAACCATCAATTACTATTGTCAATAAAACATGTACTTTAAGTTCAAGCTTGTTAAATAGTTGCTTCAATTTACTTTCCAGAAAGTGCTACTGAGTTTTGATAATACGTCCATCCAAATTCAAATAACAAAGACAGATATGCCAAAACCAGCCTGCACCCAGACAGGATTTACCACGCAGAAGTCTGGGTGTGGGGTGGTATGTGGAGACTGCACCGACACTGTCTTGTCACGGACTCTCCCCACCGACAAGGCCCATTCTAACAGTCAAACTGATGGAACTCATAGGCAGAATTACACCACAGCTAAAATTACTATGTTAACTCTCCTTGTCCCTGTGATCACTAGGCCCTCACCACATCTAACTTAGGATCCAGAATATTATCTTACTTATAACTGATTTTTTTCCTTCTTTTTCTTTTTTGGAGAGGTTTTTGCTATAGGGCATGTGTACTTGCCAGAAAGACAGAGAGAGACAGAGAGACAGAAAGCGAGAAAACCCCCCCCCGCGGGGGGGATGGCCATGCCGCAATCCCTTCTCCTCTCTGCGCCTCTGTTTTACTCTCAGGATCTTGGGCACGCACACACACGTACCCGGCGTGAGTTTAAGCCACTGGTTCTGGGACTCGAACCACAGTCGACTACATGGGAGTCCAGCGAAATAGCCATTATACCAACTGATGGTCCTTATAACTGATTTTTTAAAAGGAGGTCAATATCTTATTTACTGGGCTCTTAAAAGCCACATATTCCTCTATTATCAAGGTCTTAATGCTTATAAAGACGTTGCTGTGTGTTATGTGGGAGGGTCAGAGTTCAGGTAACTGGAAAGGGCCAAAACACGCAGGATCGGCCTGGGCAAGTGTAGCAGCAGCACTGCTGTTCTGTGTGGGAACCAGGGAGCTCCGAAGTGTAGAAATGACAGTCGGAGAACATATGCCCTTCTATGCTTCTTATCCAGAGCATCTGCTCACTGCCATCAGCCAGTGAAAACCACCACTCTGCTGGGAAACAGTAGAACGCCACGCTTCTAGAACACCTTGGACTTCGCCATATCTGGATGCTTCTAGAACACCTTGGATTTATGAACTCTGAATGAATGACTGCAGGGAAAATGGTGAAAATGCCTAATCTCTTACCTTCCTGCTGGAAAACAACAGGAGGCTGATTAGCTTGAATGCATGCTTAGGGAAAATGGCAAAAATACCTAATCCCATGCCTTCTGCTTGAAAACGACAGGTCATTAGATGGGTGTGTAATCTGATAAACGTGTTCTCGAAATTCCAAGGTGTTCTAGAAGCATGGTGTTTCTGCTGTACCCTAACAACACTCAGCTCCTTGCCTGGGACCAGCAGTTAGTGTAATGGCTATGTTGCTGGACTCCCATGTAGTCAACTGTGGTTTGAGTCCTTGACCCCGTGGGCTAAACTCACGCCGGGTGCATGTGCATGCGTGCCCAGGATCCCGAGAGGAAAATGGAGGAGAAGGGATTGCAGTGTGGCCATCCCCCCTGGGGTGGGGGGGGAGAGTGATTTCTTGCTTTCTCCCTCTCTGTCTGTCTCTGTAAGTGCTCGTGCCCTATAGCAAAAACCCCTCCAAAATTAAAAAAAAAAAAAAAGTTCCTTGCCCGTCAGAAAAACATACACAGAACCTAGGGAAGACCCTTTTATTGTTTTGCTTCCATGACTCTCCCTCCTTGAGGGAAAGAACTCCATGGCTTTGTTCATCCTGCAGCCTCAGAGTCTGTCTAGCACAGGTCTGGAACGTGTGCTGGGAGACTGGATGGGGAAATTCACAGCCATCATAATGTTGGAGGCCTCTATGCCAAAGAAGGGAAGGGGGCCAAGAACTTCTTATAACTCCCCCTACCTCTGCCCTGGGCACTGAAAATGAAAAGGATTCACATGCCCTGAACACTATGAGTACCTTGGGCATGTCAGGAAGTCCAGCTGCATATCCAGGAGCCATAAGAAAATACCGTTTCCAGTCTCTCTCCTGGTCTTACTAATCACTGCGAGTCTCGAACATTCCAAGGCCCGCAGTGGTGCCACAAGGGTGAGGGCAGGGGCCAACATGGAAGTCAGGTGTTGGTAGCAATGACCATGATGATGTAACTTGAGCGCTTACCGAGGGGGTGTTTTGCACTGTGCCACAAGCTGTGTGACTCAGTTCTTCGACCTTCATAGCAATACTAGCAAGTAGGCATGATGTAGTTCCTCTTCTGATAGGAGGAATGGCAGCTTAGAGTTTGAGAGTTTACCCAAAACTTAGTTAGTATCATAAAGATACTAACTAAGTAGCAAAGTCCAGACTTAAATCCATGTCTGTCTGGCTCTTAACACAAAAACAAACTAACCAGAAGGCCTGGCCTGTCTCTCCATTTGTTACAGTTGCTATTACACACTGTCCTAAGTAGAAGAATTTTAAATGCATAAACCCAAAGACTCTGAGTTTGAACCAATCCTTAAGAAAACAATCACAGGTACCAGCAGGTGAAATGGTGCTTAAGGCAATGGACTCACAGGGCCGACAGCAGTTTGGGTTCCAGACCTGGCTGTCTGAAAATCATGCTGGGTACATGTGCATGTGTGCCCCAAATCCCAAGAGAGTGGAAAAGGGATTGCGGTGTGGCCATCCTCTCACTTTCTCCCTCACTGTCTCTTTCTCTATCTCTCTTCAGCAAGCGCACATGCCCAGTGGCAAAAAAAAACCTTTAAAAAAAAAAAAAAAGAAGAATCACGTGATTCAAAGTGGTACAGAAGATGACAACTTCCTAATTAGCTAATCACAGATCATTAAAGCCAAACAAAACATTTTCTCAGAGGGAATCCCATGGCCTGGAGCATGGCCTCTCTATTGGAATTGAAAATGCTTTAAAGGGTATGGGGTTGGGACTTTGTGATGAGCGAAATGATTCGGGCTACCAGCTTTCTATAAGTGCTCTGAGGTGTAGCAATGGGACGCTGATTTGTGGTCGAGGCCTTGCTTGTGGCACTGCTGATTTCTCTGGCAGTGATGACACACCGTGATCTTCAGATTTTGTCATCAACAGTTCACCTTTTTTTTAAAAAAAAGATTTATTTAATTTTATTCGTTATTATTATTTTTCAATTTGACCAGAAAGAAAGGAAAAGTGAGGAAGCAAGCTGCCCGGTCCAGGACTTAAACCACTGTCGGCTGTGTGGGAGTCCAGTGCCCTCAACTGCCACAGCACCTGCTGGCCCCACCAGTTCAACTTCTAAGTATCTTTGTGGTACACGTATCACACACCCATTACCCATTTGTGTATGCATTTATGTGTACATAAGCGTGCACACGTACACACACACACACACACACACACACAGGCCTATCTAATTCCCACCTTTTTCTTCTGCTCCCTGATAGGCACCCTCAAGATTTAGTCATGAGCTCCTTCACATTGGCTTCCTTTACTTTCTCTTTTCTCCCCATCCCAGGGCTCTTTCACTTTGGGAATTTAAGCCATTGCTATAATAAAAAAAACTCCTCTGTGTTCATCTCAAATATTTATTTCTAACAATGCTTGCTAGACATCTCCACACAGAAGCTCCAATATCCCTTCAGACCCAACACGCATGAACACTCTCATCTTCTTTCCCCTAAAATCAGGTACTTTTCCAACTTTCTCTATTCCTGACAGTGACAGCACCATTTACCTCGCCTAGAACCAAAGTAGGCCAGCAAAAACCCTTCTTCCCCCTCTACTGTCAAATGTCTCCAAAGCCATGATTTTCCTTTAAATTAATCTCTAGGAAGGCTCAGATGCAGTGACACATGCTGCTACTCAGAAGCTGAGGCCACAGCCACCCAGGTTTGGTTCTTGGCCCACCCTAAATAGGGTGAGCATGGTGGTAAACGCTGGTGGTCCTAGCTAACTGGAAGGCTTAGGCAGAGGCATCCCGACAAGGTGAGATCCTGTCAAAAATATCTCTCTCTCTCTCCCTCCCTCTCAAATAAAGAATAATAAAGCTAGGGGGGAAAAAAAAGAAAAACAATCTGAAGATATCCCCTCCTTTGACTTTCCACTATCAACACCCATCACTCTTTATTTCCTCTCATCTAGACTAGAGAAATAAAATTTCAATTCCCTATCTCTAGATCCAAACCTGTTCAAAGAACTTCCCCCCATGTAATTCCCAGCTTTTATAAAGAGTTAAAAATCCTCTCATTTATATCACAAAGACCATGGCAAAGTTCTTTATTATGGCTTGAAAGGACCCCAACAACCTGTTCTACTTGTCCTATTCTCTTCTCATTTTCCACTCTAGAGCACCTCTACTCTTCTAGAATGGACACACCTTTAGAGTATTCTATGGCTTTTTCCAAATGGTTGTCTCCCTGTCTTATGATCAGAGCCTATTTCTTTTCTTATTCGTCTGTTCATGTTGCTCGCTCGCCTCATCGACTAATCCCTGACATGGCTAGACCCTCTGCTCATCAAAATGCAGCTGTCTTTTGACATCTGCCTTCACACCACCTCCTTTGACTAGCCCGGCCAAAGTAGCCCCTGTGCCCTTGGACCTTACAGGAAACTTA